CATCCCTTAAAAGATGGAACGATTATGGAACGAAACGGCACCTATGTAATTCGATAAATATATATTAAAATTCAAACATGTTTTTGAACGTTTCTTAGAAGTTGCCACGAACTTTCTGGACAACCTAATATTTTGATCGTTTTGTGTATAAGTGAGGTTTCACGTGTACATATTTGGAAATTACTTCGTTAGTCCCAATACAACGCTATTTCGCGAAATCAAAGATGGAACCGTCAATTTTGCTCGTACCTCGTGTGCCACGCAGCTTCCTCCAGCTTCGCATACACGTACGCTCGAATAATACTCTGAATCGTTAAGATTGTATCTACGAGGGAAAATTGATCGCAAGTAAATGGGACATAATTTTCATCGGAATTGCTACGTGAAACCGTATGCTCAAAATGTACGCAACGGAACGGCGTGCACACGACGACGAGCTCTGATGCATTCTTCGACGTGCCGAGAGATAAATATCTTTCCGTTAGAAAACAATGGACGCGGTTACGTTACAACTTAATTAAGGAGAGTAACCACCATTTGCAACGCAAACATCGTGGAATAATACTTGGCGTCATGAGAATTCCGTTCACGCATTGAATTGTGCTCTGATTGTACAAAACGCGCCAATTAGGTTTCGTTTGATGCCCATAGCAGAATCAACGGACCGAGGAATTCGATCGTCTGTCGGCGATTTATCGAATCCTTAGTTTGACCTAACCTCGAAATGCATATAGAGTAGACGCGATAGCACGATTCGAACGAAAAGAACAACCGAACCAAGTTTTCCTTGAAATTCTAATGTTATACACGCGATCGATAATGTTTGGAATGATTATAAATGTAATTATTTATGATTTCTACAAAAATGGTTTATTTTTCATTCGATATCGAAAATGTTTATCAGGGATAATAATTTTAGTAGTCTGAGACGAAAAGAGGTGCGGGGCAGTGGGAACGATTGCGCGAGAAGATGGCTAGAAGGAGCAACGGGGTTAATCGGCCCGAGTCACCGTAATCGGGGTTACGAGAGGCTTTTTTTCCCTCCATAAGCGATAGGAGCTCAGAGCGAACGAACGGTGCGTAAGTAATGCATCTGGCTACCTGCCAAGCTCGGGGCTATCCTTCGCCAGGCCGCTCGTTTCTGAATGAACAATAGAAAATGTCTGGCGCTGCGTCGTTAATGAAATACCTTGAATCGACCTGGCCTCGAGTTCACCGGGCGTTTACAGGTGCACTACTCTCCGCGTACGCGGAAAGGAAGACCTATAGTGGTCGAGCAGATAACAGCTCCTAAACGTTCGCCGCGCGATGCATCTCGAGAGCCAAGGGAAATTGTCACATCTCCTCGACCATCGATCGACTTAATTAAATTCCATAATCGCTAATTATGGAGGCCTTAACGATCAAATATACGATTGACACGTGTGAAGTAACAATTAAATTATTTTCTATTGTACCTTTGATTGCATAAGAATGCGCCGCTAGCTATTGACTTCACGTTGCACCAACTGTGATAAAATGCGTGTCGCGACTTCAGCGTTAGCAACGAACGCAAATGGTGGAATATTGCGTTTGTAATATCATAATATTCGTAATATTGTACATGTAACAGAATCGTGATAGTTTGTTTGCTTGCGAAATAGTTAATTTCATACTTACATAGTCAAAGGTTCCATTGTCCACTTGAAAGAAGGTTATACGGGAAAATACAGTAGCTGTTTTTGAAGACCACCGCGACAGTCTACGTATAGTAATTTCGACGATCTCCGGACTCGGCCCTCTGTTTGTATTTATAAACAATTGCGCAAGGTGATGATTTTCCGGGCACTAACGAGGGTTTCTCGTAGCTCCTATAAATATTAATCGCGGATAAAAGTTAATTGCGTTTCAAGCTGAATTATTCATATTCCTCCGTCAATTAATTTGTAGCGAGGTAAGAAACGCCACAGTCAAACGATGACCGCGCGGGGATTAGAAAAATTAGACAAAAATGAAAATTCGCGTGCCGTGGTGAGATTGAAATTCAAATCAGTAACTGTACCCGGCCGCCGTCTACGAGAATACGATTAAAAACGAAGGGAAAGAAATGGACGTAAAGAATCTGGGCCACCTTTGCGCGATATTAACAACACCGCCGTTGTCGATCGAGGTTAGGTTTTGTAATAGTATTTTTGGCTGCGGTGCGGTTCTTCTTATCGAGCTTAGGCAATCATTAAAATTAGAATTCATTTCTTACGATTAGAATCCGACTTTAACGATTGAATTCCAATTTTAATAGGGCGAGGATTCGTTTGACGTTCGCTTCGTATTTCTGCGCCGATTTAATCTAGATTTCCCGCCACTCTTGTGTCGCTCAAATCGCGGAATAATTCAACAGATAATAATCGTAAATATTCATAGTAAATTCGAACGAATTATATTCGATGCTTACGTAATACGAAAAATTTAACAACATATCGGTTTCAAAGGAGTAGAAATTTACTCGAACAACTTGTTCGATCGTATGAGCGTCACGAACAAATCCCCGCGGCTGTTCGGTCTATTTTGCTCGGATGAGATCTCGGCTGTCTACAGGCGAACGGTTCCGAAAGTAAATGAAGATAAACGGAGTCGATCGCGCGTACCCTGTCCATCTGCAGTGGCGTGCGAACATCGACGTTTTCAGAACTCGTACCAGCATCACCTGGGAAGATAGGCAGTCGGCAAACTGCGCCCTCCCTCTCGACTCCCGTTTCGCCGACAGCGAGATGCTACTTCCCTTCTGGGAAGAGGTGGCTTGGGTATCCTGTTTAAGTATCCACGGGCACGCCATCGGGCGAATCCTGCCCTCTGCCCGTTCTTTTGTTTCTACGCTCGCCCACTTGAAAGCAGAAGTTCGCCACCGAAATTCTCATCGGTCGAATGAAAATTTCCAGTTCGCAAAAATCGGGCCGATACGGGATCGCGTGGCTTGGACGTTAGGTGTGTTTCGGGTCTATTGGATTCTCTGTCCTGAAGTTCTCTGTCTCGAAGTTTTTACGGGGTATCAAAAATTTCTCTTTCGATCGACCTTCGTCGTCTGGAAGCTTTGGAAATGATAATAATAATCTTCTGTAAAATTTGTAAACAGATTTCTTGTTCGTTATCGTTCATTTTTCGAAGACTCTGATTAAAGAAAAGTCAACATTACGCCGTGGTCTTCTTACAAAGGTCCCGATACAAGTCTTTTAGAAAATTTGTCGAACTTTATTTTCTATTATTCCTCCCTTCTCGTTTCGAGGCATAGTACGGCTTCTCTCTAAAGTATAGAAAACCCAACAAATTCGTCACAGTCCTGAAATTATTCGCATCAGGATCCCATGAGCATTGGCTCGAAGTTCCAGCAAAATCCGAGAACGGAAGACGTAGTAATATCCCCAGGACCCGACTAGCATCCGAAACGAGGGCCCGAACTCGGGCCGAAACCAAGAGGCCCGTTTAAAAATAGACGCCACGGCGTAACTTCACCGGGTGAACCGTTGATTACGAGGATAAGGTCCTGGGCGCGAGCAGCAGGGAGGCGAAGAGAGGACGACGGAGGCTGACCACTTAACTCTTCCTTACGCTACCGACCACATAACCATACAGCACCGGCGATACTCCGCGAGCCATTTGGCTGCGCCAGAGGGTCTCGCACGCACCGACCGTAAAACTGGTCCGACGGCCAAGCCAAGGCAAGCTGCCTCTCATCGTGAGAGACGCGCAAGCTTTTTCGGTTCGGGGCACCTGATCGCGGCCTCCTAATCTGTCGGGGCTATTACGATAATATGTTTAGTAGGAAGCCCGGGAAGGTTGGCTGTTGCTCGCGCGCGAAAACAGGTAGCGAAGGAGCCTGCGCTCGGAACGGAGGAGGAAGAAAAGAAGAACGCCTCTTTCCCAGAGCCACCAGCGCACCGCGCTTACTCTCTTTGTGCCGGATGCGTGCCGCCGGCGGAGTAGCAATAGCGGACGAACGTCCGGTCTCCTCTATCTCGCTCGCCGACTTTTTCTCTCTAGCGCTGTACGCGGAGGCCGATGCACTTCGATCGCATCATCGGTCACCACTGCGTTGTGCCCTACTGATAGACATGCTTAATTACTCGCGCCTTTCGATTCGAGTACTTTCTCCCGTCGCCGGACCTTGTGTTCGGACTGGAATTGGACCAGGTGGCCGAGGATGCTCCGTGCGAAGGTTTCGATCGAAGAATGGATCGGGAAATTGGGATGCTGTTGCTCGAATGTTGTTCCAATTGATGGATCGTCAGTCTTTTTCTTTCTTTCTTTTTGTGTATTCAACTTGACACACATCGTTCATTATTAATCTTTCGATACAAAGATTTTTCGACAACATGGTTCCGAATATTCGGTGTCATACCAGACCGAGAAGAAGTCACGAATCCTCCTACCAAGAGCATGGGTATCTATCCCCATACTCTTAAGGTGCGCAGAACTCTGTTGATTTCATGCCCTCGCTTCGAATCCACCCCGTATATAGCGAGTGTGGAGTTAATTGGTGGCAAATTGAAATTGACTCGAACCAGGGAACCGAGGAAATTGGTCGAATCGCGTGCTGATATAGAACGAGGCTGTAGCGACACGACAGGACTATCAGTGAAGGCGGATTCTGTGACGACCAGAATAGGCCAATTAACTCCTTCCTGTAGGACAATCTGAATCCCACTCTCGGTGCGGAATAATAGCCTCTACACCCTGACCTCGAGTGCCTGACCACTCTGGAAGACACCTAGTGGTCATTCCTAGCTACCTAGAATTCCTAGATTCTTGGCTCTCGATCCCCGAAACTCCAAACACTTCGACACGGCTACTTCTCCTCTCGACACTTTCGATCTCTTTCGACTCTATTCATTTTCTAACCGACTTCGAAAAGGAGAAGGTTACTCGATTCTACGTGTATATATATATATTTTTTTTTTTCTTCTCTCGCTTCCACACAGTCTGAACGAAGACCTATTCTCACGATCATTTCGATTGTGTATTTGCAGAGAAAGTGCTGATAACGAGACTGACCACCCAGAAGTGGCTGGACGTGGGTCCGAACTGGACCGAGGACGAGTACAGGAGCGCTCACTCGAAGATGGTGTACGAGTACAGGGTGACCTGCGTGGCCCACTACTACGGGAAAGGTTGCGAGAACCTGTGCAGGCCGAGGGACGACAATTTCGGTCATTACAGCTGCAGCCCGACCGGGGAGCGCGTCTGCCTCTCTGGATGGAAGGGCGACTACTGCAACACCCGTAAGTACCGCAGTTCGTTATCATCCGTGGACTCCCACGCTTCCCGGACCGACTGCACCGCGCGTGACATCCCTCCTTTTGTCGGAATTCCGTGTATGAAATTACAGAGACGGACCCTCTCGCGGCTCCGGTAATTCATACTGTTAGCCCGTAACTGGAGACAGGAGACTGTCGAATTTGCGATTTTTTTCGCCGAATGATCGTGTACCAGGGAACCATAGACGAAGCGAAATTTATTGTTTGACGAGCTGCAGAATCGATAAGGGGAAGCAGCGGTAGATGTATCTTGGCTGGAATTTATCGAAAGCTTTGTTTTTGGGGTCCGAGGGAGGAAACTCGAAGTGGACTGTAACGTATTAGGTTGTCCCAAAAGTTTCATTCGTGAGTTCCGTTCGATTATTCTTTATGGCAGTGTTTATATAAATAGACGATCTAATCTCTTAGACATTGATGGTGTAACAGTAACGGAGCGAAATGAATTGTACACAATTTTGTAATGTAACGTAAAACATAAAATATTGTGTATGTATTAATTATTAATAAAACGAAAGAAACTTTTGGGACAAGCTAATAGCGCATAGAAGGCACTGGGTATATCGAGAACCAATTAGACACTCGATCGAGTCCCAGCAGAATTTGAGAGGAATTTTTTGAGGTAGCGTAGCGTCCCGACCCCAGTAGGAAAAGCGATCGATTGTTAATTCAAGAACCCCAAGTTCGAATATCCGTGCTTACGAAACGGGTTATACCTGTCGGGTGTACCTCTCGATTACCATTCTCGAGAGTTAAATCGCGAAGTCGGATTGGAAAAATAATATTTTACAAATCAGATTGAGTAGAGATTAGTATAAAAGTTTCAATTCTTCGTAACGGAATCTTTTTAAAAAATATAGCAATATCGAGAATTCATTCGATTAATTAACTACAAGTTAAATGCTGATATATATAATTGATCAGCACCTCATGAAATCCTAACAGAACCGAGATAGACATTTTTTTTTTTTTTTTAAGAACAAACTAAACAGCATACACACTCCCCAATTGCGAAAGACTTCCTAGCCTCGATAAACCAATTCCTATAATACAATGAATCAATTCCCCGAAATCCTATTCACTAAAGACAATTTAAATCCTAATCTCAGAATAAAAAGAACGGTCTCTACTCCCCGATGCCCGAGCGTTCTGAAATACACCTCGTCGTTACCACCAGCTACCAGACTCTCTTTAATCTCCCTAAGACAATGCTCGATCCTACTCTAAGCAAAACTGTAGCCTGTACACTCTGAATTAAACACCCCACAAAGTCCCAGCAAAACCTGAAGACACGAGCCCTCTGTTCGAGAGCGCATAACTCTTCGAAAATGCACCCATTCCCTCTACATCCTCTCTCTGGAGGCTCCGGAGGTTACGTAACGTTCTCTCCCGAACAGTCCAAGTCCTCGAAGGCAGCGTACGTTCTCGACAAACCCGACGAGTCGACGGCGGAGAGGTGCAGCGTCGGTGCCAGCACAATCGGGTCCGAGCGTGCAGCAGCTTCCCACGCTTTGCTCGCGCGTGTGCGAGTAGAGGCTCCCTCCTACGTTTCTCTCGCGCTCGTCCAGTCCCGTCTGCGCCTCTCTGCCAGCCGGGCCGTCCTTTTCCTTCCAGCTGGCTCTCGTCTCCTCCTCGTCGCTCGTCCGCGTACCTGAGCCGACCAGCGAAGGATTAATCCGCGTGTACGTGCACGGTCTCCGCCGTGTCTGTTCGCTTTCCGCGTGCACGGCCTCGGTTCTTCGTGTGCATCATCACGAGAGACGAACCTCTTCCTTCGTGTGTGGCAGAGTTCCGTCTCGCCAGTCTGCGAGACCACTAAACGGGACGACGCCGAGCACCGAGACTCCCGAGAAGAACTGGCCGATGTCTTTGGATCAGTAGGCAAGGGTTACGCTGACACCTGGCGAGCCTAGGGACAGAGAGGCCTGGTGATCCCAGTTGCTCGTGGAATTACTCGAGATTGCTTGGAAGTTCCCTTGCGCTAGATTTCAGAGATGGGCAAAACACCCTAGGCTTCGAATGAATCTGAAGTTTGCCGATGCGTTTGTCTCGTTTCTTTCTCTGGAAAATGTTCGAAAGAGGAAACGATTCAGATGTATTCGAAACCTAGGGTTTCGCCCATCGCTGCTAGATTCCCAAGCTCCGGGACGTATTATCGTAGACACTTCCTGTTGAATAGGCATATGTTACACCGACGCCTGATAATCCGGAACACCGAAGTCTCAGAAGCCTCGAAGCCTTTTGCTAGAGTCTCGACCTGTAGGACACCTCGATGTCTCCTACCCTGTACACCAAACGCACGGGTTGTTTCGTGTGCTCCCCGGTGTCCCTCTCCGTAGTTTGCCCCCAGTCTCGAGGTGCTTTCTGGAATTTCGTTCCGCTGCTCTTTGTCCCTGTGGAATTTCCCGAGATAGGCTAGGAGAGGTCGCCAGGACATGTGGAATAGGCACCGTAGCCACGCTGGCATTCGAGATTTCGCGGTCTTTTTGCTCGCGCCAAGTCATTACATTCCATGTCCGTGGCGAAGATTCGTGGCGGAGTTTCAGCAGAATGGCATCCGCGACCGGCGGAGAACAGGGGAGAGCTTCGGGTAGGTGGGTAGATAGTAGGGATCAAACGGTGAAAGAATCTCCAAAGGCTGGGACGCTGCTGCTGGGGATACCGTTTCTGTCTGTCCTTTTTTGGCGAGGGGACGAGAAATAGGCGAGGACGGTTTATTTAGAGTTTCGTGCCGTCGAGATCAATAGGAATCAGTTGGATTAATAGGAATTTCGTTATTGAAACGGGCTTGACGAGGCGTCAAAGGGTGACTAATATGTCTCGAAACGGCATTCCGGCGATCCTTCTACGTTAGCTGTATGGTACAAAACGTTGTTGCACCGTCATTGCGGTGAAATGAGGACAAAACAGCATAAAACCACACGGTACGATACAACAGAACGTGTCATAATGAAACACGGAACAAAACATGATAACGCAACTTAACGCAGCATAATACGACATAATACAGCCTAATACAACGTAACATACTACGATTCGATTGCTAATAAAAAAAAAAAAAAAAATACATTATGGGACCGTGACGCCTCTATAAAATACCAAAAAGTGCGTAGAACGTTTCGAAACGGCATCGCAACGATCCCCTAAGTGGCGGCGATTGGATGACCCCGCGCCGACGGTTCCCGAGGTGTCGACCTTCCCCAGTCGTCCTTCCTGCGAGCCACGGACGCGCTCCTCTTCGTCCAAGTTTCGTGTCCCCGAAGCCAAGCTCGGCGAGCAAACATCCAGCAGGCTCTCTCCTTCTCTCTCTCTCTTTCTCTCTCGGTGAGTGGCGATCGGTCGTTGCACTCCGACTCGACCCGCGCTCGACAAACTTTCTGCGCGCATCGATTACTAATAGACTGCTTACTCTTCATTTCGTGGCATTCCCTGGTTTTCGCGGAATTGCGCGCGGTTCGTGCGCTGTTTCGCGAGCGGAGACGTGTCGCTCTGGGACGTCTGGAAGCGACACGTCCACGCTGGACAAGGCGGATGATCTGTAGTAACTAGCCCTTCTTTACCACCCTATTCTTTCGAGACGGCTATTCGAAGCTCTATTCGACTATTGTCTTCGGCGGTGTTGAGGACGTTTTCTCTCGAGTTAGGTTTCCTTGCGTTTCTTGCGCCGAAGAGCTATTTGCGTTGGGTCGTTCTTCTTAGGTTAGCCCCACTGGAGTTTAGTCGAATGTCGTCGGAGGTTCAACAAAAAACATCGACGACTCGTGGAGTTTCTTATTTCACGCGGTCCTAGGTTCGTCTCGAATTCCATGACGACTAAGAACACGAAGCTTCCGACATTCTCCGTTCCGAACGAGTGCAAGTTCCACGTGTATTACGAAACAGTACCTAGACACCAAAAGCCTCCAAATCTGTCAGGTCCCGAGGTTATTCCTATCCTATCGAACAAGATGACGCTGTAACCCTTAGCGCCAGCCTTAATTCGGTACGACTGTTCTTTCTCGGTGGACATCGAGATTTCGTATCCGCTCGCGACGTCCCTGCGATCAGTTCTCACGTGGACCGGGCCTCCGGGCACGCCCACGACGTCACTCTTTCCAGGATTTTCGCCGCCTTCTTGTTCCTCCTACTCCGCCTGAGCGATGAGAAAGGAGCATTGTTGCGATTTACTGCGAACCAGGCCCATGCGAACCTCTCTAGCGCGCCTCGGCTCGATTTTATTACTCGATCGATGCCCGGTCGGTCGTTAATTGCGCCTGGAAATAGTCTCCGCCGAACGGGTATTACTGAAATTGAACTTGCCTTCGGGACGGGTTCCACGAGAACGTGATTTCTCGTTTCGGCATCGGCACTAAGGTACACCGAGGTACGCCTGGTGCAAGCGCGGTTGGAAGCGTTTGCTCAGCTGACCCGCTGTTCCCCTTTCGATAAAAAAAAAGCTGTTTGCCCCGCGGAACGGAGAAGGGGCTGTGTCGATTGGTCGTCGATGAGGGTTTCGGGACGCTACACGCGGATCCTCGAGGCTCAAGCACCGTTGACAACGATCGGATACTTTTACTGGCTCTTCACAGACCGGTAGAAGAAACTGGACTGATTTTTGTTAACGTGCCAGGACATCGAGATTCTTCGAGAATAGAAATTTTATCGAATACTTAAATAATAGTTTGAAGTCTCGAGAATCAACTGTGGAAGGTTTCAGCCTTGTAAAAAAAAAAAAGGAGACGCTATAGTTTCACGAATTGTCAGCACTATCGCTGCCGACGTATCTCGATATTTTCGAAATATTTAGAATCAATTTTTTTACAATTATTTATCCGACGAGTATCGTTCTATACGTGTTACGATTGAAAATTGTTATTCAAACGCTCGATTTATTATTCCGTTAGTTATTCTTTTACTTTGAGGTCTGTTTCTTAATGATGAATATTGAAAAACGAACGTTTTTCTAAAGTCGTTAGATCACTCGCGAC